GTGTCTGACATAAGATGTCACATTGAAAATATACAAGTAGATCTTGTTATTTGAAGACAATTTTTTCTCAGCAAAAATATTGAGGCATCAAGAATTTTTGAGTTATAAGCGATTGAAAATAAAGAGTTTATTGCAATCTGATTTCCTTGTGGAAATAAAATATTAACAAAACCATATTCTCCAATTAATTTTAAATAGAGTTTACACTAATAAAATTTTAATTTAAAATTTAGTTATCAAGATACATGATGGCAAAAATTGGGAACATGTAAAAAATGATGGCTTCCCTCGACATTTTGCTGAGAAAAAATCGTCTTGTATAATAATTTTTAAATATAGACATAACTCTATAGATCTCATCTATAGAATTACGATAGATTCCTATTTAAAATTGATTAATTATGCTAATTGAAAATCCTGATAATTATGGATGATGATTATTTATTCTTTTTCTCAAACTCTTGGGTTTTTTTTAAGACAACTGGTTCGTGCAATACCGCGACATGGGCTATAATATATTTAAATAACAAAGACAGCAGCTACGAGACCTAAATGCAAGTCACAAACTTTCTACTGAATTGCTGAGGCAGCGTGACATTCGCTTATTTACATCACATAATTGAGAATACCACTATTTGCCGGATATTCTCCATTCTTTTGCTCTCTCCTCCGTCGGTTTCCATTCCTTACGTCTCTTGCGGTCATAACGATTCCCGACATCCTTTATCCCTCGACAATATAAACTTCAAGCTCTTGTCTCTTTCTTTCTTCTTCTCCCTACGTTGTATATCTAACTGACTGAGGAGTCAAGCTTCTTATCGAATCGCGCAGCGGATACGTGTCTCTAGTGCGATTTAAACTTTCGTACGACGAAAAAAAGCTGAAGGACTCACATAAGCCGCATCAAGAATGAATATATTTTCTCTTGAACGGGAGAAAGACCAACTGAAAGTAACAATGCCACTCGAGCCACATGACGCTTCAATTATTTACGACGTCTTGTTGATACCATCCCACACTAGTCACTCACGCTCTTTTCATTGTTCTCTCTATATACTCTATCGCGACTTATAAATCCTTTTTCTATTTTTTTTTTACAATATTACACCATTATACTTCCTTGACTTTTATATCAAATGCTTATACCAATTTGGTATGTCTTAAAATATACCAATTTGGTATGTTTGAAAATATACCAATATTTAAAAATATACCAAATTGTAATTTTATATGTATATGTAGAATAATTATTCATCGTAATTAATTTGTGTAAAAATTAAGAAAATTATTTCTTATAATGTATATCACATACTACAATATTTAAAAAATGTGCTGAATAATATATGATAGAGTTATATATATTTCCATTTGAACAAGAAAAGCAGTTACCGAAAAACAAAAAAGCTACAAGCTTGAAAACTCTTATCCGAAAAGTTATTATATTCTTCGCGGAGAAGATATTACACAGGCAACCCAAGTTCGCATTCTCTGCGGGATGTTAACGGCGTCGTAACCCGGTTTGGAAGTTTTATCCGACCGGATTACAGGAAGATGCATGTTCCGCGGGCCCCAATAGAGATCGAAGAGGATTGCGCGACGATTGGATCCACGATCCACCATCAAAGTCCACAAGCAATTAATTCATAAACGTACGGTCGGCACAATGGCCGAACTATCCGTAGCACATATCCGTCTCTTCACGCAACAATAGCACGCACAAGCATCCGCATGTTGCACGAATTGTATCAAGATTTGAATGAACCAGCATATACGGATGAAGGACTCGGTTCCCAAGAGATCGAAGATATTACTGCGGAGGATGCGCGTCTCCGCGATTGTCTCGTTGATATGTTAATTAACGTTATTGATGTTATAAGCAAAACCGCCTCAGGCCCGCAATACGAATATCTATTAATCCTATCGAACTGTGTTACAAGTAACGTGATAAGCTTATTTGATTGTTATAGCGTTCGGATGATATTATCGAATGAAATATGTCAAGAATTATTGTGCCAGAATTTTTTACAATTGTGATATCAAATTCTTATATTACATAAAAATGTTGATGACTTTTATAAACTCTTTAATTTATTTTTATTCATTTTTATTTTTATTTTAAATTCTTCGAACAAGATTGACAAATTATCAATTTTTTAATATTATTATAATTTAATTTTCTTTGATAAGTTACTGATATCAGATATACAGTGTTTACTGTTACCTAAATAAAATTATATCGATGATCATCGAGGTGAAATTTTGGAATCATCTTATCTTTATACACTGAGAAAAAAATGCTGTTGATTTATGTTGATGGCAGCCCGTGACGTCACGTTTAATTGAATCAACAGCATTTTTTTCTCAGTGTATAGATAATAAAAATATGTTTTATCTATAGCTTAGATAAAAAAGTATTATCTTTACTAAATTATCTAGAATACTGTTCAGATAATTTGATTTAGAAGTCATAGCACATATAAAGATAATTAAGTAATCAATTTTAATTTATTTAATTGACCAAAACTGGCATCATTTTATTGTATGAAAAATTAGTTGATTCTATTTATTGATAAAGATTACAAGCAGTGGTTAAAACGTTATGTAATTTTTCAAACAATGAAGTGATGCCAGTTTTGGTCAACTAAATAAATTACAATTTAAATTTTCTACTGGCGATACCACACTAAATTTGAATACATATTAAGTACACTAAAAAAATTTAGTTAATTCTTATAAGTATTTATTTCAAAACTGTCAAATAAATCATTTATTTGAAACTAATAATATTTATTTGATATAAAAAATATTTATTTGATATACAAAAATCCTTTTCAAAGCAAATAAATATTATTTATTTGTTTTAAATAAATGATTTATTTGACAGTATTGAACAAAATATTTGTTAATTTAGCAAATTTTTTTCAGTGCAATAAAGCTTAAACAGTAAGCGACAAAAATTTATAAATAAAAATATGAATATATTTTTATATACCTTTTATAGTTTATATTTTTTTATAATTGTGTTTACATAAGCGGTCTTAAAAATAATATCTAGAAATTATCTAGATAATTTGCCATATAATTTTATCCTTTATCTAGATAAGTATTATTTAAAACAAAATCATTTTATTTTATCTAATTGTAAGACAAACTTTCATAATTTTATCTCATCTTTAGCTAATTTTAAAATCATCTAACAAACCCAACACTTCAAATATATAGATATATTTTACGTTTTACCATCGCGAGAGATTTTTTCAGCGCAGCAAAATTTTCTGAAATCTTGAATAAATAATAATCAACCAAAATTATGGCATATTTTATTATTTTCCCTCTTACGAGGTGAAACGAAAGCGGGCCTGATTCCGCATGATTTCCTTGTTGCGTATTACCTATTGCGTAACAGCCCGATTCCATCCACATCGCGCGGTTCCCTTATTTCGCCCCTATCGACTCGAGTTGGCGACGCCTCGGGAAAACGAATCCTTTGAAGTCGCCTGTACCCGAAGAAGTAATTTCAGCGCGACCCTCACCAGCAATCGTTTTTCCCCGGTTCGTGTAGGGTCGACCATCTGCCCCGCAAAACGTTATTATCGGAAGCGCCCCATCTTTGATAAGGACAATTAGCGACATAATTCACGCAACGACTTTTATGAACGAACAGGCAGCGTTGAGAAATGTATTTAGCAGCCGCTTTTGCACCGCATTAAATTTTAATTGATAATTACAAGTATTGTTTTAATTTTTTTAAATATATTTTGCACTTGTTAAAATATACAGAACGTCCCAAACCTTCTGTATTACACGTTAATGGGAGTTGGAGACGATTTTTCCTCAGCAAAAATGTCTAGGCATTAATAATTTTTGAGTTATAAGCAATTGATAATAAGGGTTTTTCTAAACTAAGTCATGTGAAAATAAAATATTGACAAAATTACATTCTTTTATTAATTTTATGTAGAGTTTACTTTAATAGAATTTTAATTTAAGACAGCTACAAAGATACATGATTTCAAAAATTGGGAATATTAAAAAAATTGTGACCTTTCTCGACATTTTCGCTGAGGAAAAATCGCCTCCAAATAATTTTTTTAGGAGTCTCCTATAAACATATAGTACAGTAAAGATGGGACACTGTATATTATGTATGTGTGTTAATTATTATATTATACATATTGCAAACTTTTTTTCGTTAAAATTACAATTGTCAATTCCTGCTACAGAATCTTGATTCGATTTTACTTTATACGATCTAATTTAAGCAAAGTGAAACTCGTACTCTGCTCGTGGCATAGAACTTAGTTAACATTAAACTTCGCGCATATTGGATTCAAAATACGATTCCTGCCAAAATTCAATCTGGAACAGCAGATACAGGTCTTAACATCGCGAAGGATAAAATCCAATGCGAGGCACGTATCCCCAAAGTTAAGCTATAGATACAGTTTTGTAAAGTAAACGGTCTCAGAATGAAAATCCTTCCCTTTCTCTATCTTAAAAGGAATTGAGAAAGAATCCGTAGATTTCCGGAGCTAACGACATAAAATTTTAATATGCGAAAAAATTAGAGAAAACGTATTTCTGACTTGACAAGAGAACCTTACTCAAACGTAATTTGAATATATATTCAACACGAGAATAGCAGTGGAAAATTCTTACCTATTTGATATTTCACAGCAAAAAATATGAAATATCTTTTTTTAATTTTATACAAAAACGATATTTTTTTAAAATCGATTATACGAATCTATCTGATCTGTTTACTTTTTCACTCATAATCATTTGCGCTCTTCGTAGCTTAATATTAATTTTTTTTTTAATTGCATGAAACACCAAAAATACGTATCATCCAAATTCCACTGAATTCTTGGCGCGACACGATGAGACGGGTCGAATCGAAAATTACCGAAACTAATTAGCGAATGGCACGGAAGATAATAGCAATTTGCACGCTCAAGAGTAATGGCCAGTTACTCAGGGGTTTCGTCTTTTTGTTGCAGGTGCGAGGGTGGCTGGTTACAACTGGAGGGCAGCGCTCGAGTCTGCGGTCGTAATCAACGCTTCGACCGACCGGTCGTCCTCTTCTCGGACAAGCCGATCGCGACCTTGCATATGCAGTGAGTACATAATATCTAACATATCACACACTTAATATTTTACTTAGCGAACAGTTTTAGCGTTATCGCACTTTGATCTAGCTAGGCTAATAAATTTTCCTTTCGAGCGATTTGCCGCACAGTTAATTTTTTATTCGAAGAATAAATTTCCTCTCTCTATTATACGGCTATACCGTAATAGATTGACATTTTAAATGCAAACAGGGGCGAGTAAATTATTTGCCTTCGCGTAAAAATTTGAAAGAGATTATTTTCGTTTTTATCTAGGGCGTACGTCGGAATGCAGAGAGAGCATTTTTATGTCGGAGAATACTTAAAAACTGCGCGCGCAAATTGAATTACGACAAAATTTCGTGATATTTCCTTTTGGGATATGTAGCCAAATTTTCAATAAGAACAATGCGTATTTTCGCTAAAACTTCCACCGACTTTTTCTCTCCTTCTTTTTTCTGTCCACACGGGACGATTGCTAAATGAATAGCGGGCGTGTAAGGTCGATTTAATGTCACTGCGCGAGTTACCGTCAGTGCGAGTAGTACTATCGAGGAAGGAAGACGAGGACAGACAGGAAGGCAGAACGGCTAGGTAGAATTCCAATAGCATTACGAAATAGGAACACGTTCTGAGCTAAGTGCTTCTTACTAGCTCGGCCAGCAGAGTTTGCCCTTCCGTTTGTTGTTCAAACGTACACCAATAAATGCTCATATATCAATTTTTATCCTTAAATACCACATTAGGTGCAGCGATATATATCCGAGAGATTCAATTTGTATTATTCTCACACGCAAAAATTGCTCAATCCACCGGCACATATATGCAAGATATTCAAAATCTACTGTATCACACGTTAATGGGAAATTCCTGAGATGATTTGGAGATGATTTTTCCTCAGCGAAAATGTCGAGAAAGGTCATCATTTTTTTAATGTTCCTAATTTTTAAAATCATGTATCTTTGTAACTAAGCCTTAAATTAAAATTCTATTAAAATAAACTTTACCTGAAATTAACTAAAAAATGTAGTTTTGTTAATCATTTATTTTTACAAGGCTTATTGTTAGTTTACAAAAAAGCTTTTATTTTCAATCATTTATAATTCGAAAATTATTGGTGCCTGGGCATTTCCGCTGAGGAAAAAACCGTCTCCAAATCGCCTCAGGAATCTCCCATTAACGCGTGATAGGTAGATAGGTTTGGGGCACATTGTATACATATATAGGGTGTAACTAAACAAACGAATACAAAGCACACCATCAGGTGCAGGACAAGAAACTAAATCGAAAAGTCCTGAGCCATTTTTAATCTGAACTTTATTTTTGACCCTATAAATTGTTAAAGTTTGCCAATTAGCGCGTGGCTACAACGGTAAACAGCGTAGGCGCCGCCTAGTAGGCGTATTAAGACTTACTAGGTGGGGCCGCGGGCCCCGAGAGTATCGAGATTCGAGTAGAGGCCGCCTTAGTAGGCCTTAGTACGTCTACTAAGGTCTTCTGTATACATATAGCCACGCGCTATTTAACAAACTTTAACAATTTATAGGGTCAAAAATAAAGCTCAGATTAAAAAATAGCTCAGGACTTCTCGACTTAGTTTTTTGTCCTGCACCTGATGATGTCCTTCGTATTCATTCGTTCAGTTACATCCTGTATATATATATTCTCATTCACGATAAATTTAACTGATTTTGATGGAAGCTTATATATATTCTTATTCACGATAAATTTAACTGATTTCGATGGAAGCTTAAAGAAAGAACGAAGCGCGAAAACGACGTGACGTAGAATATTTACATGATTCGCGCCTTATAAGAAGCGATTTCCATTAGCTCTCTTTCGCTTTTATCCGCCGTTTGTACTTGAGCCATCCGTCTCGCGGAGAGTTTAATTTAAATGCAAATTGATTTACCTTTGATAAAATAAAATAGGAATTTCTCTCTGTTTACGGGCGCGCAAAGCCGAGAATTATTTTTTAAATTAACTTTCTTGACGGCTCGTGCGAGCGCGTGTATTCGCACGTAACCATATTTAATTATGCTGATATACTACTGCAAAAGTAATAACGCAAAGTTAATAACCATTTATAATGTCCATGTGCTTTGGAGCATCGCGAGTGTCCGGCAGTTAATAGAAACGGAATACAAATTAATTATTACATTTGATGAAATGTATTACATTGATTTATAATGTTTAATGAATGTAATCTTATGAAGAATGTCAACATTTTATGATTTTATCCGTGCGCGCTTGACAACATCATAAATCAGAATTAACTTTTGCGCCAATTACTTTTTCTCATTATATGTTTTATCGCTTTGAGAATCGGATATATAATTGAAATCGAAGCAATAATTAATATTAACAATTTATGAAATTCTCTTTATGCACCACAGTTGAAACGAATTCTGACAGACGTCTGAGAGTCCCGAAAAATCTGAATAATTGATTGGTAAATATTGTCGAGAGTCGGTAAATGGTAGAAAAGTTACAAATTCGTTTGTAGGTAAATCACCGAGCGGGGGAGAGGCTCTATTGGCATCTCCATTATTTATATTTCTTAATTGGCGTGTCCAGAAAAAAATCGAGTGCCTGTCGGACAACGAGAAGCTTCGTTACGAGAACTGCTCATTAAATATTTATGGTGAAATCAACGTCTGCGATACGTCCACGTCGTTGAATAAGGTCCATGTATACATAAAACATTAGTAGTTTGCTCTCTACGCAACTCGTTTCTTTGACGAGTGGCATAAGATTTTCTCAAGGATGTTTCCGCCGCGATTTTATACCTTGTTTAAAATTCGAGACGAGTCTGAGAGTGAATGCTCACGAAAAACGTGCAGATGCCACGCGAGAGATACATTTGACAAATTAACACGCGCAGTCTTCCTTCCGAAACACGGTGGTTAATTTTGTTTGTTTCCACGATCTGCCGCGCACATAGCTGAAAATTGAGAGATTTTCGCGGGAGTAACGCGGCGTAAAATTGAATTCTGCTAGCCGGTCCTGAGAGTAATTTGATCGTCGGGCTGATGTTCAATAAATTTATGAGAAAATCGAGCTTTTGATTTCTATTGCAATTTATTTTACATTTTCATAACCGCGAACGCAGCAACCGTAGATAATAATTGTTTTAAATAGCGTCAAAAAGTAAAACTCGATATGCGTAAAATTAATGGAATATAATTGTGCTGACGTAATCGTATACATATGCACGTATATTAAAACGTCATTTTACAGAAAGAGCGAAAAACGATCTCTATTAACCAATAAATAAAGTTTTAAAATATATTTTCTTTTTGCATATGCGACACAATAATATTCGATTAATTTATTACACATAATTGCGTATAATTACGTGTAATTTATTACATATAATTACTAAAGTTTTAAACTTAAGGGAATTTGATTCAATATTGCATAATAAAAATCTCTGAATTTTTCACGTAAAGAAATATTCACTTTGATAGTACGATATCTAATGTATAAGAAGAAAAAGTATTTGACACGAAGAAAATGGCAGCTTTTAATCCGGAAATGTCTCCCGCGTTATTACTTGGCACTTTCCTCTCGGCAGAGACTCCGAAATGCAGCTTTGGGATGAAATTTATATAAGTTGAGAAGTTGAGTGTAATGTGGCAAACCCGTCGCACGCGACTGGCATAAACGTGTCAAGAAATGATTTATGGCGGTTAGTTTCCACTCCCGACCACGGCAACTCCTGTTTTTATGTGAAAATACGCAAGAAACTAACAACAAACGACAACTTATAAGCCATGATGCGCAATATTTCGATGGAATATTGAACAAGATGTCTATACATTAATCAAGAAAAAACAGAGAAGCTTTTCTCAGTCAGAAATGATCGGTCGAAAAGACATCGAATCGATATTGATTCGACCAATTTGGCACCGATTCGACGTCGATTTAACTATCATTTCTGGCTAGGTCATCAAATATACCTATAGTTACTTTTATTATCATGCATTTAAAAAAAAATATAATTAATAGTATTGCAAGCTAGAAATTATCTTGCAGATATATTACCTTGTAGATAATAAAGACTGTGCGAATTATATAAAGAAAAACAGAATTTGTGCCAACGAATAAATGCGCACATGCAATAACATGAAATATCGCGATAAATTTTCCATGAAATTCTGGTTGAAAATTTCTTGGCCGCTTAATTGGTTAAATTAAACGGGCTGCGACGAAAATTTCGTCGGGCAAAATCTCGAAGATAAATATACAATGCACGTGAAACGGCGCATAATATTTTTCAGTGCCATCCGTAAAGTAACGACACGTATCCCGTCGAATTCGAGGCAATAATCGGATTCCCGTGAAATTTCAATGCGCTCATTTCCATAACTACGTCCTTTTATGTCAAAACGTGAAACATTGAAATGGACTGAATTATTCAACCGATAATACGCGGCTCATACGTGGAATACGGGCGGAAACTTTATCCGTTATGTTTCAACATATTGTATAATACACTTTAAACTACGTCCATTGTCCACCTAGGACTGTAATAAGGTCAATATACGCGATCTCGATTTATACGATTATATATGGTACAGCAAAAGTGTTTCCGTGACGGAAGTATGAAAGAGGTTTTCATCTTTCACATCAACATGTCAGATTTATTCGAAAAATATCTTTTTTAGGGCAAAATACATGAAATAGAAATATCGAATAAAGTTCAACGCATCTAACGTCTGAACGTTTATACTAAAATAAAAGTCTGTTTTTTATCGTGTATCAGTGGAAAGCAGTATTTTAGCATTAAAAAATTGGCTACAAATTTTTACAGATCACGCATGTTCGCTTTTTTCCACTGTTTTATTTTCAAAGATCTTCACAACTTAATTTATTTAATCTTTATTGCAAAATAAAGTCTCTATTTTTTAAAATATGTTTTTAATATGTTTATTACAGAGGTATCTTAAAAATATGTTTTTAAAAATTTTTAGGAATAAAAATTAGTATTAATACATGTACATAGG